TGTAAAAAATCCGATCATAAAGATGTGCTACTTATGTTACTTTTACAAATTAAAATATTTTATGTTTATAATATTTTTATGAACAAATAACATAAAAAAAATATTTTTCGCTGAGATGCGAGTAATCTCGTGTATTCTACGTAAAAACGCTGTTTTGTGTCATGGTTTTGCAATGACGTCATCACGCAATGACATCACAACGTCATTTAGCAACAAATCGCTCTGCCTTTAGCAACTTCCCCTGAAAATTAGTTGGCAACACTGGAAGGTGCAGTGCTTCCTCAGCTGCTTACATGTTGGAGGTAAGAGAGGTTCTGTCTTGTTTAGCCCCCATCTGACACCAAACTGCCGCCATCCATGCCTTCCCTGATCTCTTCCACAGGAACGATAGAACATGTCAGAAGTTTCTTGTAAAATATAACAGACAGCAGCTCCACAGAATGCTGCTAGACTGCAGAACAGATGGTAAGTTCTCCGTTACATTACAGTCTATCCTTAAGTATGTACGGAGGCCCTAAGAGGCCATGCATTATTCTTTTTGTCTTTTTTCCTGATCTCGACATCAAAAACATTTTCTCATCAGGACGACTTAATTTTTTTGTGATCTCGACATAACAAAACAGTTGTTGGTTTTTCTCCGTGCCTATTAGGATATTTTGCTGTAGACTAAAAACACGATGATTAAAATACACAAATAAACTTCTGTTTTGGAATAAGTAAAGAAGTTACTGACATCAGATCACAAGTGTGTAATGGTCAGCAGTTATCCGAAATGACATAAAAATAAGAAACATTCCACTTGAAAAAAAAAATGAATAAGATGTATCAAATAAGATTTAGAAAACAGAACAAAAAAGTAATGGTTTTCCACAGAAGAAAACAAAAAAACTATTTATTTTTTAATATTCTTCTTCTTTTTTTTGTTGTTGTTTTAAAGTACACTGAAAAATTCAGTTGTGATCACTAGAAAACAATTATTTTATGTTGACATCACAAGATAAGCATTCGTTATGTTAAGTTTATGTCAAAATTAAGTCAAGATCACAAGAAAACCACTATATTTTGTCATGTTGAGATTAAGAGAAAACAAACTTTCGTTATATTGAGATTACAAGAAGACAACAAAGAAAAAAATAAAATAATGCATGGCCTTTAAGGGCTTCCATAATTTTAAGCACAAGACCAGTATATTTATTTATTTTGGAAAAGAGTGTCCCCAGGTGGCAAGCCATACATATCTGGAAATTACAATACTATAAACCTGTACGCGTTTCTTTTTTCTGCTGAAGCCTCTGTGTTCAGCAGAAGAAAAAAGGGTGAGTAATAAATGGTGACAGAATGCTCATTTTTTATTTATGCTATTCTTTTAATCTGCAAAGTTTGAGAACCACTGATGTAGAAGAGTCACATACTGTATACACAAGCTCTCTTTCTCTTCCCGTCCACAACACAGCCGAGAAACAGGAGGTTAGGAGAGCGATCCTGAGCTGTTCCCTGAGTAACGTCAGAGAGGAGGAAGCTGATGAAGATGGAAGTGATGATGATGGTGATGAAGAGACCCAAAACCCCTCCTAAAAACTAAAAAGCATCATACAACCATGCAGTGATCAGGGAGATGTACTGATATTTAATGTTCTTTGTAAAACTGATAGTAAAGGGTTAATGTAGAGCCCTAACATTTTTGATAACACATGAAACATTTGTGTTTTTGTTTTCTGGAGCATTTTGTGATTTATAAATGGAGTATATCATTCACATTACTGCTATTACTGTGTGAACTCTGACTATGTGCTGTGTAAGTCACGTGTATGTATTTTTTCTGTACTGATTAAAATATCTAACGCTGTTTCTTATTTGTTATACGATGTCTGTAAACGTCTGTTTACAATAAATGCTTTGATAGCAAAAATAGGACTATCTGTCTATAAAAAGTTTTTTTTTAAATTATTATTAAGATCAAAATACATGTATATGACAAACACTATACATGATATAAACAATAAACATTATACATTAAATAAACAATTTCACACTAGAGGGGCTGTATACAAATACAAATTTATATAAAAATATTAAAGCGTTTACAAACTTTCACCGTTTTAATTGCTTTTTGTTTAATAGAAAATCGTATAATATCAATATAATGCTCCATTTCCTTCCTAAAAGAAAAAAAAAACAAGTTTTTTTGCATGAGAACTTACATTTGTGAATATGAAATTTTGCATGTAAAACTGTCTATAAAAAGTATGCGAATGTGAGATTACACATGTATTACATCACGTCTTGCGGTCAAATGCACCAATCAGAATGGCAGAATCCGCGCATGCGCACTTCGTAACCCTGCCGGGTTTATAACCCTCATCCGGGTGTTTACGGTTCCTGTTTGGCGACCCTTCGCCATATGTCTGATATTATTTAGCAGAACTAAAATTTGGGTTAAAACCCATTTATTCATCCGTTTTCCTCTTTTGGAAAGCGGTTAACGCCTTGTGGGGCGCAACACTTCCCACGCCAAGGAAAATCGGCGCTTTTCAAGGGGCGAGGTCCCGCTTTTTGGGCACTTATTTTTTTGTGTTAGCACACAGCTTTTTTTACCGAGACATTTAGCTTGTGTCTCTGTTTTTCTCTCGGTTTGTTTGTGGTCAAGATGTCGCCGTAATGGGGTCTCCGCGTTTGACAGAAATGAATAAGGGCCTTCGCCGCCTGACCTGCATTCGCAACAGCCCGTTGTTCTCCCCGTTTACCCCGTTTCACGCTAGAGAGCTCGAAGGCTGTTTCCCCGGAGTTAGGCCTCAATATGGAGAAAAACCCAAACGCCAACAACAGCAGCAGCACGAAGATCCCGCCCCGTTCCAGCTCTACAGGCCCGACTCCTACAGATTCTAAAGCCAAAACAGGTAAATCAGCGTCTCATACACACAAACACACACCTGTCATGGTCAACTTAAATAGAGGGGAAAGTGTGTGTGTTTGGGGTTCACGGCACGGTTTTGTTCTTGTCTGTCGAGATGACGTAGCTAGCCACGGCCAGCGATTTGGCCGTTTCTGGAATAAACAATTCGAGCAATATCAATAAAAATATTAAATATATCAATAAAGTGTTGAACCGTGTCAGAAATGAACTTTTGTTAAGGGTCAATATTTTATCTGAAATTGTTTTTCTGGGATATTTTTACTTTTATTGGGGGATTTTTTACATGTTAATTAGCTTATCAAATAAATCAAATCCACAATAAACTAATTGACCTGTTATATAATAAGTATTTTAATTATGTTATAAATAAACTTATTGAATTACACACACACACACATTTAAACTTTGCAGGCAAAGTGAAGTCTTTTAGTTTCTAATCTACATTGTATATTTACGCCTTAAATATATTCATTAAACTTACAACTTTTCATGGAATTTAAAATATCTTGTATAATTTTAACTGCTGTATTTTTGAGTGTGCTTGGTTTTTATTTTGTATTTATGTAGGCTAACTCTTGTATTTTTCTCAGCTTTTGCCATGAAGATAGCCTTAGATGCTGACATGGCAGTAACAATAAATAACTACAGCTGCTATAACCTTTTCATTTTGTGATCCTTGTATTAAAAAGCACTCAGAAATACTCATATGATTTCATGTTGATTAAACCAGTAAACCCACTTTTTTCTAACTAGACTGGGTTTACAGATTTGAGCCCATGTGTTTATGTAATTTATTGTGGTGTCAGTCTGTGTCAGTGCATATATCCACCCAATATAAACTCATTTTCTGATAATACAGACATTGGGTGGTGTGTGTGTGACTCTTATACAGATAAACCAATATCAAAACTGAATTCCCCTAAACTAACCTAAAACAAACAGAATTCCTTTGAAATTCTTGATCTACCCAAGGGGAAATTCATATTTGGGTTCATTATCCCCTCCTCTTAGTAGCAGATCAGATGCATGAGGATCATGGTCAAGATCTATTCTTGTCATCAGCCTGCCATGTGATAGAAGAAGAGCTTCAGTGGTGTATTGCCCTCTAGCTTTTGGATGGACCCAAGAAAGCCTCCAGCATATCAGAATCCAATCGCTGTAGATAACAACTAAAACAGTGTTGTCTATGTTTTAGTTTCAATAATGTTTTGATGTGGGCTTGTGAACACGGTGATCTCTGCTGCTGGATGATAAGCTGTGTGTGTTTACACCCCTGTGCTCTTATCATGTGATCCTCTATAAAACACTTTAAGTGCAGCGCGTGACTGGATTGATTAGCTAAGGCTGTGAGAATGTTGTCAAAAATAATGAAAAGCAAACAAGGGTTTCATTCCCAAAAACGACGTAGATCTCGTTTCAGCTTGCTGAGGAAAAAAAACACAAAGTTGTCAATATTGCAATCAAGAAAATGTAATGTTTTCCCGAAGTTGCAGGGACACCCTCTTATCAAGTCAAATGTTATGCTTGATTAATATATTGATGTATTTTGACGTTTCTCCTTTATTTGCTCTGTTCTTTTAGATGGTAAGAATAATGGGGGCTCAAAGCGCTATAGCCGCAAGCGTGAGCCCACTTTTGCCAAGGCCGAGAGCTTTCCGGGCCCACGCCGCTCCCAGCCACATAAAAGCAAGAATTTTGACAAGAGACCCCCTCAGAGAGGTGGCGGAGGGGGGAGACTGTATGGACTCGCTGGTGGTGGGAGAAGAGAAGAGGTGTTTAAATAAGCCTTTGGATTATGATTCATTTGTACTTCCATGAAGGGCTGTTGTTATGCTTCGTTATTGCATGTTAATGTGAAGATAACAGTGATCGTGTTGGTTAATTAACTGCTAGCAAATAGCCTGTAATGCAACGTAAACAAACAGACCTGTACTTATATGGGTTAACCAGGATTAAAGGATTAGTTCACTCCAGAATAAAAATTTCCTGGTAATTTACTCACCCCCATGTCATCCAAGTTGTTCATGTCTTTCTTCAGTTGAAAAGAAATGAAGGTTTTTGAGGAAAACATTCCAGGATTTTTCTCCATATAATGCATTTAAACGGGGACCAACGGGTTGAAAGTACAAATTGCAGTTTCAGTGGAGCTTCAAAGGGCTCTACACAATCCCAGCCGAGGAATAAGGGTCTTATCTATTGAAATGATTGGCCATTTTCTAAAAAAGATGCGTGTCCATGACTTCATGCATTATGTATTCACAAAGCGAACGTGCAAAGACTTAAGTTAAACGCCCTTTACAAAAAAAAAAAAAAAGGAAAAACAACGATGTCAGACGATTTTGAACTTGGAGGGGAAAATGAGTTTTTCACCCTACCCTACCTGTTTGAACCAGAGTCGGTACTTGCGGTACAATGTCATGCATGACCTTTCCAACGTGATTATGTAATGCTTGAAGTAGTAGACGCGCATCGCGGAGCTGGTGCAAGATGAGCATTTGTGGTTAAAGTATATACATTTTATTTTAAATGTATTTAATTTTTTAGAAAATGACCAATTGTTTCGCTAGATAAGACCCTTATTACTCGGCTGGGATCGTGTAGAGACCATTGAAGCTGCAATTTGGACTTTCAACCCATTGGGTCCCATTGAAGTCCATTATATGGAGAAAAATTCTGGAATGTTTTCCTCAAAAACCTTAATTTCTTTGCGACTGAAGAAAGACAGACATGGACATCTTGAATGACATGGGGGCATATAAAATATCAGGAAGTTTTAATTCTGGAGTGAACTAATCCTTTAACTGTTGGATTCTCTCATTAGGTAGCAGAGAACCGCCGGGCAGAGTTTAGCCCGGCTCAGTTTGCTGGACCCAAAAAGATAAGTCTGAACCACCTGCTCAACTTCACGTTTGAGCCACGAGGAGGTCATTTTGGCTCCGGAGGTGATGGCCACTCCTGCTGGGGTCGCCGCAACAAGTGGGGTCACAAACACAAGCCCTTCAACAAGGAGCTTTTCCTGCAGGCTAAGTGAGTACATCAGAATATGTTGCAAACTTTTATATGAATTGATATTAAATCACATGCAACAATAGTCTGTGTACTTCAGTGTTATGATAAGCTGATAAAAATGCCAATCTGATGAGTGTGTCTTCCTTTTGTCCACCAGTTGCCAGTTTGTTGTAATTGATGATCAGGACTATCAAGCCCACTTCACTGATCCGGACACTTTGGTGGACTGGGACTGTGTGCAACAAGTGGTCAGTTCAGACTTCACACTTCCTTGTACATCCTGTCAGTGCCTTTTCTACAAATCTCAGCATGTTCATCATGTTTTTTTCTCGTTCAACACAGCGCATCTGCAGTCACGAGGTGCCGTCTTGTCCGATCTGCCTGTATCCCCCTGTGGCGGCCCACATCACGCGCTGCGGCCACATCTACTGTTGGCCATGCATGCTGCACTACCTCTCTCTGAGCGAGAAGAGTTGGTCCAAGTGCCCCATTTGCTATGAGGCTGTGCACAGCGCTGATCTCAAGAGGTTCGTACAGAAAAAACCTGTTTATAATACTTGTTTGGTTTTTAAATTAATGTGAACTTCTTGATGTAGAAATCTGTTATTTTATTTAAATCAACCCCTGGTATATAGAAGTGCCATCATTTAGTCAAGACATTCCAGTTTGTTCACTGTTGTCACTGAAACCTGTCAACTTGCAGTGTGGTTGCCATGGAGACGCATCAATACGTGACCGGTAACGTCATCACTATGCGTCTAATGCGGAGAGAGAAAGGATCGCTTGTGGCTCTTCCCAGCTGTCAGTGGGTGAAGGTGGAAGAGCCCATTCATTTTGGAGGTGAGGCATTCTGCTGGTTGCGTGAGACTTTTGTGGTGTTCACTTGAGTGTGTCTTATTTGACATTTTCCTCTCTTTGTTGCAGATGTGCATTTGCGCGCATACTCCAAGCTGCTGCTGGCGTCTCAGGAGCAGGTTTTGGGTTTGCTGGCTGAAGAGCGGGTGGCTCTCCAAACCCAGCTCAGCCAAGAGAAAGACGACCCACAGGCCTGTTTCATACAGAGCGCCTTACTGCAGCTGCAGGTACACATGCGTTCACACCGGCATATGAATGTTGGGTTGGACAAGCTGTTTTGACTCTTTTCCAAGTTACAAACCACTCAAACTTAAAACTTGTGAAACAAGTCATGCTACTGTTTTGAAAAAGTCGTTTGTATAGGTTGCTTAAAAAATAGATGTTAACAAAGGTATTTAAGGAGCCAAAAACTATACACTGAATTGTGTAACTCATGTAATTTGTGTAATTTAATACCAAGCTTGAATGTTTACATGCAGTTATCTTAAACATTTTCTGATTCATAAACTGTTTTTATAAAAACTGAAAATATACAATGTGACATTTAAAAAAAATAACTGGGGAAAAAAATGGGAAAAGTTACATAACTTTGGAATTTACTTTGGTTAAAAGTGTTTGCCAAATGCACAAATATAAATGAAATATTTAAACTACGTTAAAGCTATTTCAATGACTATTGAATTTTGTAACTTAAGTTAATGTAGTTTATTGTATAATATCTTTATTATACACAAACAATGAGAATTTGGGTTGACGGCTTGAACAACTAACTTTAATGTTTTATAAACATTTTCTGCTTCATAAACCATTTCATAAAACTGAAAATATATAATGAAACGTTTAAGAAAGGCTGAATTTTTACTGGAAGGCCAACATGACATGGAAAAAGCATTGTTACACTATTACAGTTTTTATTTTTTACTTTTGTTATTTACTCCCAAACACTGCACACAAACACATAACCCTTACATTTGATCTCTGACTCTGAATGAACAGGAGCGAGAGGAGGGTCTTTTGAAGGGAGGCTGTAAAAATGGTGGTTTTGTTGATGGGGCAGACATGAGGAAACTGTCTCTATCTGTGCACTCCTCTCCAGAGGTGGTCAAGAACCTCCCAAACTCAAAGGTCAGTAGAGACCGTTCTCCTTTCTTTAAGTATGAGGTTGAATAAGTTTTGTCATTCATTGTTTTTGCCCATAAGAAAATATGTTTTGGTCTAGTGCTGTGTTGCAAGTTTATGGTATTTAATTGTATGAGCGACATAAACAGTGTGATCTGGTCACCTGATTGAGTGAACAACATTTAATGAATTATTCTACTGCAATACACATGGAATTTCACTCTCCAGAAACTCCCATCATTTTACACATTTTTTGCAGAGAGACTTTAAAGTGTTACATTTTAAAGCGCCTCTTCTTCATTTCTAATGCTTATACTTTCCTGTGGAATGAATGAAAACATTTGAACTTTTCTGTGTGTGTTTTTAAAATTCAGTAAATCCCTGAAAATGTTTGGTAGCACAAGCTCTGGTCTCATTGCGTGATATTTTATCCTGTGTTCTACCACAGCCCATCCTGCAGTATGCTTCAGCGTTTGATGATGAGCTTCAGGAGGCTCATGAGGCGCCCGTGGAAGAGATAGCTGTTCAGAGTGTTCCTGAGGTGGCCAAAGAGATGCCTGAAAGAGCTGTGGAGGACAAACCTGTAGAAGAGACGCCTCAGACCAGCCAGGCCGCTCATCATGGCCCATATTACTACTTCTATCAAGGTGTGTGTGTGTGTGTGAGTCTGTTGGTAATGATGTTTAAAGCTACTTTTCAGGTAACTTTTTTTTTTACACGTAAGCAATGGAAATGGAGACTAAATATGATGTTATTTCTCTTTTTTTTTTTTTTTTTTTTTTTTTCAACCACTGTGTTTTTACATGCAAATTGTAAAAACAACCAGAGGAATGCAGTACCGGCATCCTTTACATATATCGCATCTCATTACTCACTTTCTGAAAAGTTGAAACTGAGCCATTACTCTCTGTCAAACGTTGTAAGATTTTTTTGTAAGTGTAAGTGTCACATACACTAATGATATAAAATGTTCTTTCCCACCATTTTTAAGTTTTATTTATTTTGTATCAGCGACTCACAGAAACACATACAAAATATATATATATATATATATATACATTAATGCCTATAATGCCTACACTGATTGACAGGCTTCATTTTTAGGAAATTCGCCGTCGACATCGTTACCTCTCTCACCTCTCTCACCTG